TGCAATCCCTCCAGTGAGTCGCCATTCATTTATTGGAGCGGCTTATCTCCATTTTTCGTTCAAAAGCTTCCCCATGATGTAGGTTTTGGGACTTCATGAGGTCATAGAAGGGATACGCACGTAAGATCTGAATTATAAAAGAACTCTTCACTAGGGACCAGTCTCTTCTAGCAGGGAATCTTATTACCTCTCCGTCTTAGGCAGCAGACCTTGTCCATATATTATTGGGCTGACAGGACATAAGTGTGTAGTGTTCAAGCCAGGCATGGTGGTGCACACCTGCAACCCCAGCATTGTTGAGGCTGAGGCAGGAGGATTACTGTGAGTTTGAGGCCACCATGGACCACATGGAAAGACCCTGTCTCAACAAACAAATGAACAAATGTACCAACAAACAAAGTACATAGTTTTCATGATCAAACTTGTGATTGTTTATGAAGACATGCTTTTGAGAATATGTTAACCCAAAAAGATACAAAACTAGATATAGTAAAATCATATTTTGTAACAACCAAGGATGAAAACAAAACCTGTATGATACACTAAAAAACCAGAAGGAAATCTATAAAATGTTAACGCTAGTCAGTCATCTCTGGGTAATAAAATTATGAATGATTTTTTAATTTTCTTAAAAACTTTTTACCCCTCTACAAGTTTTCTAAAATAAAGATACACTGATTGTGTAATGAGGAAAAAATAAGGATAATTCATATTCTTAAACCACAAGGAAAACAGGACCCTTAAAAGTGTGCTTCCTTGTGCTTGGTAGAATGAACAGGAATGTGGAACTAGAGGCACTGCAGAATAGGTCTGTTGTGCTTTCCCAGCCCATGTGATTCCAGAGCTCACCAGCAGAGCCATTTGTGTCCCTTCTGAGAGGCCAGGTGGGGCCCTGATGGGAACTGCCTGACACCATCCAGCAGCCTGGCTTTCCTTAAGCATCGGTGATGACCAGGCTGGGGGCTTTGTCTGAAGAAGCTGTTATATTCTTGGAAGAGAATGAATATGGACCTCGTGGTGAAAGCCATCTCTTGAGTACTAACCATACAATGGCTCCAGGATCTTGTTTCCGAATGCTGGGTAAAATACAATTCACTCCATTCATCCTTGAAAAAAAGAAGCCATTGGTAAGTAGGTGTATTAGTCATTTTCCTATAGCTGGGACAAAATACCCTACACTCAAAACATAAAGGAGGGGTTTATGTAGAGTCATGGCTTTCAGTGGGTTCAGTCCATGGTCTCTGGCTCCAATTCTTAAAAGGCATAGTGAAAGGCATGGCCCAGGAAAGAAGCTGCCCACCTTCATGGAAGCCAGGAAGCAGGAAGAAAGGAGGAGCTGGGAGGTGAGATGCACACTTTCAGGTCACACCCCAGTGACACGCTGCCAACAGGGCCACCTTCTCAAAGCACATCCCGCCTCACACTCACCCATGGATGAATCTACTGAGAAGTAGAAGTGCCTCTGCGATCCAGTCACCTTCCAAACACATGAGATGGGGGGTACTGATCTAAATCATAACAGTGTAGTAACTGATTTTACAAATTTGTCCGTTTTCAAGGCATTTTCTCAAATTTCTATGTAGAACTAGATCATGAAGGGTCAGAGTCATTACTTCCTGAGTGTCCAGGAAGCCTGTCTCTGGGAGCCTGTGTCTCCCTCTTCCCCTCGTATCCATCCCCTCATAGCATCTCCCCGGCTGGGCCAGGACCAAGGTGGGGAAGCCCAGCTGTTCAGGATTAGGAGGAAGAGTCAGAAATCTTTTTGCTCTTGTAGGTGGTTTTACTCTTCTGGCCCCTTTCACTGTGAGACACACAATACATTTATCATCATCTCCTCCTCCTTTGCAGAGTGTCAAAGAACTGCAGTTTCCTGCTGTGTTTAACCACAGCGGGGCCACTCTCCTGGGATTTAAGGGCAAAACAATCACTGGTCTCCCTGTGAGCCTAGGTCACCCCAAGCAAGACTGACAGAAAGTAGGTTCCTGCCCCAAGACCTCTCTGCACTTTGCTCTTCTTTTTAACCCTCTGTGGGACAGATCTCAAAAGCCAACTCACAGCAGGCAGGTGGCACACACTGGTAATCCCAACTACTAGGGAGGCTGAAGCAGGGAAATTCAATGTCAGCCTGATCAACTTAGTGACACCCTATCTCAAAATAAAAAATAAAAAGTGCCGAGGATGTAGTTCAGTGGTAAAGTATCCTGGGTTCAATTCCCAATGCTGCAAAAACCAAACCAAACCAAACCAAACCAAAACCCAACTCAGAACAAGATGTGAATGATATTGGATACTGATCTCTCTCGGGAGTGTTTGCACTCCTGAGAAGTACGACTGATGTCAAAGGAATTAGCCGCAAATTTTGACATTTCAGGCATCAGATAAGGGGGATGTTGGGTGGCCTGTGATGTTGAAAACAATCCCCTCAAACCAGTTCAATCATTTGCTATTTAACAAATATTCATTAAGCACCTATCATGTAAGATGCACTGAGAACAGTAAAGAATAATACAGATGCTGACCCTCAGAGAGCTACAGCTTAGTTCTAGATAGAGCAGTATGTAATTATGTAAATCAGTAGGACAGATATTCTTGGGTGGCTTGTGAATCATTTTATTTGGCTGACACTGAATTTTTCTCAGAGCCATTGACATCTTTGCCACCTGCTCCTACCTCACGTGAAGCATTCTGTTCATTCTGTTTTGACCTGGTGCATAGAACACAAAGTTAACTAGAATGAAGCAAAATTTAATTTTGAAACAAACCATGGAAGAGTATTTTGGTGTTTCAGGTATTACCCTTTTAGGAACAACTATTGTTTTTTGCCTCCCTAGCATGGCTTCTTTAGGTAACAGTAATATAGGTAATATGTATAGCAATATATGTAGTAATATAATAATATATAGCTCCCGACCTGTGAGATGTCAAATGTGCCGAGTCTGTGGCCCCACAACACTGAGGAATGAAGTTTCGAACCAAAAGAAGAAGTTAGGAGAGTTTTATTGGAAATAAGGAGAGAAAAATCGCTTCTGGATTTCCAGGAGGGGTCCCCAGAGGGGTGGCAGCCCCTCTGTCAGGGATAATTTAGACAGCAAAGTTGCAACATGGCTACAACATGGTCCGAACTGCAATCAGCCCTATATGGTCACAAGTACAGCTGCTTAGCTAATATTGATCCAATAGGGAAGCAAGTCACATAGCAAGGGTGTGCATGGAAAGAACGAAGGCATTTTGGGGAAGGGATGGGTCCCGATGCTCTGGTCACCTACCTGGGTGACTGATGCCTATCTGGAATTCCTGGTGCTAATTACAGTATAATTTTAAGTTACTGTTTATCTCTCTTTTTTTTTTTGTACTGGGGAATCGAACTCAGGACCACGCTTGCCAGGCAGGCACTGGTCACTGTTTCTTCTTCTTCTTCTTTTTTTTTTTTGGTACCGGGGATTGAACTCGGGTCCTTGGACTTGTGAGGCAGGCGACAGAACCACTGAGCTAAATCCCCGGCCCTGGTCACTGTTTATCCTTTAGAGAAGCATGTAGGCCTGGCCTTGTGTCTTTTTTTTTTTTAAGACAGGGTCTTGCTGTATAGCTCAGGCTGGCCTTCAACTCACTATCCAGCCCAGGATGGCCTTCAACTCAAGGCAATCTTCCTGCCTCAGCCTCCCAAGGGCTGGGATTGTAGATCTTGCCTATACAGTATAGGTATTGTACCGCCACTCCCGCTGTGTCTTAATCTCGAGGCTTGGCCTTCTTTAGATGCACCTCCAGCCACAGTTTTGATGTCTTTATTTTTGTGCTGCCTTCTTTAGGAGCCCAGACCCTCCTCTCTGACTGTTAATTTTTACACAGCTTGGCTGCATGTGACAACAGCACCCTCAACGCAGGCTGTGGAATCGCCTTGTGGGTTGAGCAGGACTGTCTCACCCGGCGCCAGCTCCGGGAGAGGGTGGGGAGTGATCCTGGCCTCTCCTGGGTGCCCGAGGTGGGCTCAGGAATGGGCACTTCTTCCCGAGGCTGCAGGGAGGAGCCTGCGTGTGCTGTGGCCAACCTGGAGCAAAGTGGAGGTTAATATCGAGAGCCCCTGTCTTGGCTGGCTGGCGGCTGCATTGTTACCCTTGGATTTCCTGCGCGTGGTTCAGGACATCCACCGGGAGGAGACACAGCCGAGCGCAGGCCGCTTGTCCCTGGGTCCCTGGCGTTAGCAGCTGCGTCCTTCCTCGTTCAGTGGTATTACACGCCTAAGCGGAAGATGGGCCATTCATTTATTCCCTTGACGTATATTATGAGGTAGGATGGAAGAAATAAAGATGGGTAAAAAAGAGACAAGGAAAATCAGAATTTTGGAATCGTGGTTTTGTGTTTTGTTTTTTTTTTAAACTGCAGCTTGGGGGGACAAACATGATCACAAGGTGCCTCTCTCTCTCTCTCTCTCTCGCTCTACTTTTTTTTTTTTTGGTACCAGGGATCAAACTCAGGACCTTGCACTGCCGGGCAGGCATGGCACCACTGAGCTAAATCCCTGGGCCTTCTTTTCAAGCCTTTAAGGAAGCCTAAAAGTCTTCCCAGCCTGATTGACTTTGTGCCTCCTAAGAAATAGACGGGCTGCTGTTTCTTTGTGTGTGTGTGTGCTAGGTGTGTGTGTGTGTGTGTGTGCCCTTTTCCTCTAAACTACCCAAGCTAGGCTTAAACTTGTGATCTGCCTGCCTCAGCTTCCCAGAGTGTTGGGATTACAGGCATCTGCCACCACACAGCTAGCTGAGAAAAGAATGTTATTTTCACATCCATAGTCCACGCTTTGTGTCCCCTGCCTTTCTGAGGGAAAAGAGTGTGACCCTTTTCATCACATGGTCACAGCCACCTCCCGCGCACAAGGCACCTGCCCACATCTCCACACAGCCACACGTAAGGCAAACCTTCTGTCGTTTAGACAGACATTTCTGTTGACAGACAGACAGACAGACAGTATGCCAGTCTCAAAAAATAACTGACGCACGTATCCCAAATTCTGCTAAAATCCAAAGTTTATGATAGTCGCAACAGTATCAATCTCAACCAGGTTACAAGTCTGTTACAAGTTACAAACTATTGAAAAATAGCTTTGAAAAAATATGCATACCCTAAATATTAACACTATCCTGAAATTAAAAAAAACTGTCAATCGGATGAGGAACTGAGGTCCACTGGTGACAAAGGCAAGAACTTTTTGTGTGGCAGACAGTCCTGGGAGGCAGGCCGGGTGTGCTCTACGGGACTGCCAGAGAACAATCGCTCCACATGACCCAGCCGGCCAGGGGAGACTCGGAAATGCTCAAAGCAGGATAAAAACGAGCTGAAGACTAAACACTTCACTGGGTTGGCATCTTTCAGGGGGGTAAGTGAGGAGGGCAGGGGTCAGCCGCTTCTCCTTTGCTAGTCCAGGCAGACCGTTAGGCCAGAGCTTCCTAGGAGAGGAGAAGGGGTCCCTGCTCATTCCTCCTGAGCCAGATGAAAACCTGCTTTAGGTTTGGGAAAAACTTCCCCAGAAGCAAGGGAGGGAGGATGTTTTCTAAGGCAGCCTGCACACCTGCACACCCAGGACTCAGGCGCCTCCCTGGAGGTGTGAATCCAGCTAGCAGGGCTCTGTGAGTGCAGAGTTCATCTTTGTAGGATAAATCTCAGTGTCTGTCCTGTGGGTGCCACTGCTCTGCCTGAGGGGTGCAGGACCCTCTGACATCCTGCCTCTCCCAGGAGTCTCACTGTGCCCTCAAGGTGGCAGAAGGCTGGGAACTAGAAAACTATGGGAACAGAAAAGCTCCTGTTGGAACTGACACACCTCATAGTACTGGGGATTGAACCCAGGGCCTTTGCACTGAGCTATGTTCCCAGGCTTTTTTTATTATTTAAGTTGAGACAGAGTCTCATTAATTTCCTAAATTGCCTGGGCTGAGCTTGAGCTTGCAAACCTCCTGGCTCAGCCTCCCAGAGTTCTGGGATTACAGGCATGCGCCGCCACACCTGGCTATTTTTTTTTTTTTTAAAGCTCAATTATCCCTTCTAGCCCAGTGTTTTCAAAATCAATTGTGCAATTCATATTTGGAGCAATCTGACAGGCTGTCTCTAGGGTCTTGACACAATTGAAGGTCTTCTATTTGTATTTTTCAACAAGACTACTGTCTTCCGTTTCTGTTCATTTAAAATTAATTCCTTTATTTTGGTACTGGGGATTGAACTCGGGTTCTTGCGCTTGCACAGCAGGCAGCAAAACCACTGAGCTAAATCCCCGGTCCTTAAAATTAATTCTTACTGCTATTTGAGAACCATAAACATTTCAGAATAGTAAAAAGGCTGTAACTTTACATAGGCAACATACGATAAGCTTTCCAGGAGCTGGGTGAAGAAGCCTAGGGGCTGGCCGTATCCCGGGGAGGTGTTACCACTCTTCACTGTTTTAAATGTTTGTTTTTTAAACAAAGTCCATTTAGTGACACAAACTCAAGCTGATAGACAGCTGCTGCTCTCGGATGCAGCCTCTGCCCTGCAGGACATTCACCAGGAAACCCCAGTCCCAGGGGACTCCAGACTCGCCCATACTCTGCTTCCACTCCTCCAGCAGCTTCGTCATGGGGCACCACCACAAGCTCTTCTTCACATCTTAGTATCCTGGACAGGGGCCTCCTCCTGGGAACAGGGGAGCAAAGAAGGAGTTAGGAAGGGCTGGAGAGATCCTGCCACTCGGCTGAAGTCCTCTAAGAATAGCAGGAGTGACAGTGATGATAATGCTATGTGCCTGACGTGAAGTCTTACATACATCAGCTCATTCAAGCCTCACGAGAGCGGTGTGAAAAGGGCACTGCTCCTAACTCCGTGTTACAGGTGAGACACGGAAGGCACAGGGAGGGGAAGTGACTTCCTTAGGTCACACAGCCAGTAAGTGCGGGAGTCAGGATTCAAACTCAGGGACCTGAGCTCCGGTCCTCAACTACTAGGCCATTACTGCTCCTCCCTTGATGCCTGGCTTACTCTGTCCCCACTGCCCTGCCCTCTTAACTACTCTCATTCCTGCTCAACTCTGTCTTCCTGCTCAGGATTCTTTGGCATGGGCCAGGATTTAGCTCACTGGTGCCGCTGGCTGCCTTGCAAGCTGAAGGTCCTGAGTTCAATCCCCAGTACAGCAAAAAAAAAAAAAGATTCTTGGGCAATATAAATGTGGAGCAAGAACAGGTAGAGTTAGGCGGGTGTGTGGCTCAGTGGTGGAGCACCTGCCTGCCATGCACACAGCCCTGGATTTGATCTCTGGCCTACAAAAAATAAAGACTGGCACTTGAGCAAAGTGGCTATTTATTCGCCATCTCAGAGGTGTCTCGCTTAGGTCTCCTTCCCAGCGGAGGGTGCTGAAGCACAGGGCCTGTCTCCATCAGTACCGAGCTGAGAGACGCTCAGAGACACTCAGGGATGTGCCCACGGTGTGAGCGCAAACAGGTGTGCCTTGCACGTCTGTCCTGGGGAGAGGCAGGAAAGGCCTGGGAGAGCGCAGAGATGCGGTGGCAGAGAGGGCTGAGCCCAGGTGGGGCTGGAGCCATAGCAGGTGGCCCGGCGGGTGCACTGCCCACGTGCGATGGTGGGCGGAGCCCTGGGCCCCGCTGTGGGGACAGGAAACATCAGGGACCCTGGCAGAGCCTAGCAGGTAGAGAGCAAAGGGTTTAGGGTAGAAGAGTAGACAGCCCAGATGGGTTCTTTTATGTTTGTTTCTGAGACAGGGACTCGCTACTTCACCCAGGCCAGGCCTGAACTTGCGGTGTAGCCCAAGCTGACCTCAAACTCGAGGGGGGATCCTTCTGCCTCAGCCTCCCTAGTGCTAGGATAAGAAGCCTGCACTGAAGTGCCGGGCTGGCCAGAGGTAGTTATTTTAGGAAGATGGATTTGGTGCTGATGGGTGGGATGGGGGCAAAGACAAAGAATTCTGGTGGGAGTGAGTTGTGATTGTAAAGAACAGAAAGAAAGGCCAGTGCTGGCATCATGGAGGCACTGGGAGGGGAGAGGAGGGGACCTTGGGACAGAGAGTGAATGGCTGGGGGGACAGGTGTGGGTGCAGGGGCAGTGTGCCCTGGGAGAGGAGACCCGAGAAGGGATGAGGGCCCCCAACAATGGAGCCTGGGAGGGAAGAAAGGAAAAGGCCAAGCAAACACTGGGAGGTGGGCAGAGGGCGAAAGGAATTTCAAACCAAACATTGCAAAAGGCAAGAGAGGGAATTGGAAAAGCCCTTGAAGCAGGCAGTTGGGAAATCTGGCACTTCCTGTTGGGACATCAAAGTCCCGGAGGAGACGACATCACAGCATCGGGGCCGTCTGCGTGTGGGTGTTTTCGAGCTGCAGAGCCCCTGCCCCCCGGGGCTGGACGCGCAATGGGTGTGTGAAAAGCACAGTTACGTTCACTTTAAGCAGCAGGGCTGCGTCTGGCTCAGTGCCTCCTTCCCAGCTGTCCTCGTCCTCATCCACAGTGCTGGCCCTGGTGCTCTGCAATCCCCCGGGCTGGGGACCGAACCCAGGGTCCTAACACTGAACCCATCCCCAGCCTTTCTCCCTTCCCTTCCCTTCCCTTTCTGGTACCGGGGATCGAACTCAGGTCCTTGCACTTGTGCAGCAGGTGGTGAAACCACTGAGCTAAATTCCCGGCCCTCCCAGCCATTTTTTAGTTTTTCAATTGAGACCTGGTCTCCCTAAATTGCTACGTTGCCTATGCTGGACTTGAACTTGGGATCCTCCTGCGTCAGCCTCGAAGAGTACTGGGATTACAGGTGTGCACACACATGCCCAGGAGAAACGGACCCTTTTGAGCGCTCTCTTCCACCTGGTGCCTTTGGCATAATTAGGAAATGTTCCCCTGCTTTCTCTGAAGAATGCATTGCTTCCCCCTTTGTGCTCACATCGCACCATTAGGAGGAGAATCCCATGGACTCTGACTGGCTCTGATTTTACTGGTTTCTGCCTTTTTTCCTCTTTGACCATAGTGAAAGGGAAAACGGCGGCTTGTTAAATGCTGACTGCATGAGGATGACCATAATTTGCTTATCTGATCCACTTAGCTCTACCAATCGGGGCACAAGGTTGGGAGGAGGTTGTGTGGTGAGAAGTCTGGCCGCTGCCACATCTGGAAAGGCCTAGCCCTCACTGGCGAGTCCTCGGCACTCCTGCCTGGGCAGTTCGAGTCTAACTTTGCCCAGCTTTGACAGGAAGAAAAGGAGACTGAAGGCCACATGCCCTGCAGATGAGCTGGGTCACGCCTGGCAGAGGAGCTTGGGAAGTTTCCTCCCTGACTGATGGGCACCATCCATCAACTCTGTCTGGGCTCGGGACCCTGGACAACTCCAGGGCTCTCTTGAGGGCTTGCTTTCATCCTGTCTAGAACCAGAGGACTGGGGGGCTAGGGATTTAGCTCAGTGGTTCTGCTGCCTGCCTGGCAAGCGAAAGGTCCTGAGTTCGATCCCCAGTACCAAAAAAATGAAAGAACCAGAGGTGAGCTACATGGTATCAACCCGAGGACGGCACAGAGGGAACAGTGGGCCAGTGGCCGAGTGGAGGGGACGTTCCTTTGACCCACACTCAGGACAGGCTTAGGGGAGCAGAGCCATGGGCCGGAAGTGGCTGTGTCAGGATCGGGCATTCTGGGTCGGGGGGATGGCACAAAGGGACCTCAGAGGTGGGAACGAGCCTGGTGCATTTGAAAAATAAAAGCATCAGCCAGGCCGGAGCACAGGGAGGCAGGAGTCAGGGAGAGACAGGTGTGTAATTCCATCCCTGCTCCCCGGGCCTGCCACCGTGTTCGGAACGGGGCACTGTGGATATAACTGTTCTTTAAGACCCTCCTGGGTTGGGCTGGGACCTGGCTTAAATCAAGGATTTATCTTTCTCAAATTCTCTTTTCAAAATTCCTTACATGATTAAAGCTCCTGAGGAAAAACTGCCCATCCTAAAGGGACAGGAAGCCGGGTGTGGTGGCTCACAGCTATGATCCCAGCACTTGGGAGGCTGAGGCAGGAAGATCACCATGAGTGTGAGGCCAGCCTGGGCTACACAGTGAGCTCAAGGCCAGCCTGAACTACATCGAAAGACCCTGTCTCAAAAAACAAACAAAGGACCAGGAAGGTATTTTGCAATTCCAAAGTAACTTCCAAGTAAAATGTTGATAAGCATTATAATTATCCTAGTTCCCGGACCCCAAGAGTAGCTTTGGGGTGCACAGAAATATATCAAACTCGTGCCACAGCTTATGAGAGAAGAGAGGGGAGCCCAGAGACAGACACAGGAAGGGCCACAGGAAGACAGGCTGGCAGGGGCAAGGCAGGCTCCAGGGCGGCAGGCAGCAACCTCGGGGGTGGACAGGGTCCTCCCTCAGACCCCACGGCGGGCGACCTGTCAACATCTCCACCTCCAGACCTGGGGGAAGGTATATTTTCTGTGGTTTTAAGCCTCCACGTTTGTGGCATTCAGTAAGGCAAGTCTAATAAGAGCGTTGGGTGATTTCAACAAAGAGTAAATCATCCAGCCCTGTGGTGGCGCACCCCTGTGGTCCAGCCCTCTGGGAAGCTGATGCAGGAGGATCACAAGCTAGAGCCCAGCGTGGGCTATTTATTGACTTAGCAAGACCATGTCACAAAATTAAAAAAATTTTTCTAAGGGCTGGGGATGTGTAGCTCAGTGCAAAGGCTCTGGGTTTAATTCCCAGTACCACAAACAACAACAAAAATACAAAAGAAAAAGATGATCCGAAGTAACCCACTAGCCACCTGGGGGGCCAGGTCAGAGGCTGCTGTCCCAGGGGCCAACAGTGGACAACTGGATGAATGACCCAATTGCAGAAAGGGGAAGAAAACCGCTTGAGGGTGAGCAGGCTGATGAGGCCGTCAGGCTGGGGGTACGAGGGGGACCCTGAGTTTTTCTTTTTCCTTTTGCAGTACCAGGGATCAAACCTAGGGCCTTGCCCTCGCTAGGCAAGTGCTCTGCTGCTGAGCCACACCCAGCCCAGTGCTGAGCTTCTCTTGGGACCTCCGGGTCCTCAGGGATGGTTCTCACCCACAGCACAGACAGGTGGGCACAGCCAGGAGGACAGAGACGGGTTCCTGGCCTCTTCCCGGGCAGCAGGTAAGTGACCGGAAGTCACGTTAGGCTCCTTCCTAAAGAACAACCCCAGGGCCACCTTCGTCCCGAAGCGGCCCCAGCTTCTTGACCGTGGTGGCTGCTGGGACCAGTGACCGGGCTGTGCCAGCCTCGCTCCCTCCACGGACACCCAGAGCCCGCCAGAGACCCCTATCAGCGAGCAGCTGGGCACGGCACGAACACACCGCCCTCTCTCTGCCTCTGTCCCTGGCCACCGGGCACAGCCTGTCCCCACACACGGCAGGGCACGCAGCAGGAGCCTGGTACCTTTGTTTCCACACACTGAACTGATTCACTTGGACAGAGAGGAGCAGAGCATGCGGCAGGGCTCCAGGTGGCCTGGCACAGCCGTCCCCATGTGAACAAGCCCGGCCACCTACCATGGGGAGCGCTGGCCCCCTCTGGGTGTCACTTCTGGGCTCCGGTGTGGCCTGCTGCGTCCTCGGGCTGCAGCCTGGAGCTGCTCCTTGCTCTCGATTTTCCTTGCCTTCCTCCTGCGTTGGGACACTGCCGCCTTCCTTTCCTCTGGGAGGAATCTGGGGGGTCTCCTCTCCCCGGGCCCCCTCCTCCGGCTTTGCATCTTGGCTCTTCTGGCCGGGGCTGTCCTCTCTGTGTCCCCGCTTTGCCTCTGCAGACTTCCCCAGCTCTGCTTGCCTTCCGGCAGCCTTTGCCTCTGCGGGGCGCACACTCGCACCCTTGGCCTCTGGGCTGGGGTTCTGGGGTGGCTCAGGGCTCCCCGCCCGTGCTGGGCCCCCGCTGGCCTCTTCTGAGCTCCACCTGGCCTTGTCCTCCTGCTTCTCCGTGCTGCTCGATGTCCTCCTCAGAGGGGGCTTGCCCGCCAGCACCCTGCTCTCCCCCGAGGCCCCGTGGGATGTCGGGGACCCGGGGGCCTGGCTCTTGGGTGGGAACACTTCGTCCCCATTCTCCTCCCTGGCACCGTTCTCCTGAGATGACTCCGTGGCCGTGAAATCTCCAAGGTCCCCACAGTCCGACTGAGACCTTCGGAACCTCCTGGAGGGAGGGCGTCTTTTGATGGAGCCCCTGGTCCGAACCTGGAAGAAGCCACGAGGGACAGTTAGCCACGGCAGGACCTTACGTTGCTCAGGGTCGGGCTCAGCCTCCCAAGTGAGCGATCACTTCACTTCCTAGGAGGGTGTGCCCTTGTTGGCCCTGGGGTATACGTTAGGGCCTGTGGGGTTGTGAAGTCCCATGCAGGTGTTTGTCTCCTGAAGATACAAATGCTTCCCCTCAAGAAAAAGTGATCTTCTAAAACATGAACTGGTTTGGTGTCTAGCTTAGCAATTTTTTTTTTTTCATACTAGGGATTGAGCTCCCTGAGTTACACACCCAGTGTTTTTTAAGTTTTTAAATTTTGAGACAGTTCTGCTCAGTAGCTAAGTGGCCCAGGCTGGGTTGGAACTTGGGATGCTCCTGCCTCAGCCTCCCATGGTGCTGGCATTACACGTGTATACCATCTCGTCCCCCAGTTTAGCTTAGCAATTTTATTGGAATTTAGTTGTAAATAACTAGTTCTTCAAATGTTCTTTGAGGGAACTTTACATCTTAGGTGTCCTCATAAGTTGACATGTTGAATAAAACCTAACCCCATTTTGTAAGACTCATGTTTTAACATTTTGAAAATGATACCAGACAAAGGTGAACCCACCAGGGAAGAGGATTAGGGGCTTGGCAATGCCTGGCCCTGGCACAGGGGCCTCATGATGCCCGGCCCTGTTACAGGGGCCTCATGCATGTTGAGCTGGATAGCTGGTGGCCAGCTTTCTCCCCACACAGCCGGGTGCTGTGCGGACAGCAGACTCTAAAGCCGGACCTCGGGAGCCCCCAGCAAAGTCTGAGAAGCGTGTAGTCTCAGACTTCTCAAAAAAGCCTCAGAGGCCGGGGATTTAGCTCAGTGGTTTTGCTGCCTGCTGCGCAAGCGCAAGGACCTGAGTTCGGTCCCTGGCCCCCGTGGCCAGCCCAGGCCTGCTGCTGGAAGACTGAAGCCCCGCCTGGCTTCCCCTGCTCCCTCCCAATGCCCCAAGGGGAAGACCAGCTCTCCATTGGCTGGGATGAACAGAGGGCTTCCACCGTGTCCAGTCGGCAGGCTCAAGCCTGCCCCGCCACCTGCTGGCCACCAGTCACTTCCATGCCCCGCTTTTTTTTTTTGGTACCTGGGATCGAACCCAGGACCTTGCGCTTTTGAGGCAGACGGCTGAACACTGAGCTAAATCCCAGGCCCTTCCCTACTTGTTTTGACACCTGTGACTTCTTGCTAGATGTATTTCCTAGGCTGGCCTGCAAGATCTCACTTCTCCACCCTTAGTTCCAAAGCCACATGTAGTTTGCATTCCCTGGCAAGAGATGCCCTTCTGTGCGGCTCTTGCCTAGTTCTGTCCCATGTCACTGGCCACCCGCTTAGACAGCCCTGGACTGTACCTCTGGCCCCTACCTCCCCTGCTGGGGCCGGGGATCTGAAGAGAGGACTGGAAAAAGATCAGGGCAGCTCCTACACACGAGCCCTGCTGGATGCCTTCTGAAAGGGGAATAATTTGGTGTCCTCTAACTATGTAGGAATGGCTGGACCCACGCTGAGTCACTCTGCACCATTCGTATCAGGCCAGAACCGGGTGTCCCAGAGTCCTACTGACCCTGGCCACCTCCTCTGGGAATCACAGAGCAGGCCTTTATTTTTGGGGGGTTTTTGGTACTGGGGATCAAACTTGGGTCCTTCTGCTTGCAAGGCAGGCGACGGCACCACTGAGCTAAATCCCCAGCCCTAGCAGGCCTTTACTTTTGTTCTCAGCTTCTGACCTTACCCATCTGTGCAGCTGGGATTGGCCTCCACCCTCCTCTTCACGAAGGAGGGAGTACTCCATCCCCTCAGCCTGCCTCGGGTGCAGACACAGTTATGGGGGCTGTACACCCCCTGCACTTCTGCAGCACACCGCTGTGCTCCTGGCAGCTGTACCTTGTTGTAGCAGGGCAGGTGAATTCCTTCTGGGGGCTGATCAAAGCTGACGGGTACCTCCTCCGCCTCGCTGGGCTGAGACCGCACGCCCGGGCTGCTGGGGGTGGGCGGAGGGCTGTGGAACGCGGACACCATGGCCTTGAGGCCAGGACTCTTGGGCGAGGCCCCAGGCAGCAGGGCCGCTGGGTCAAAGGTCAGATTGGCCTGTCATGGAGAGGAGAGGAGTTTCATACAGGGCTGGAGAGAAGGAACAAGCTGCCACCCTGGCCTGTTGGTTACCTGGCCCCAGAACTGCTTGAGAGTAGTCAAGGTGAGGCTCTTCTGTGTCATCTCCCACCCAATTATCCAGCCACATCACGCCCTGCTCCTGAAGGCACTGCCTGCTCCATCCACCCCCTGCTACTTGGCTTGCCACAGGCTGCCTTTCAGAATGCTCTGTGCATCCTACCAAGATGCCCGGAGCTGGGTGTGGTGGTGCACACCTGTAATTCCAGCAGTCTGGGAGGCCGAGGCAGGAGGATCCCAAGTTTGGGCCCAGCCTGGGCAACTTTGCAATTTAGCAAGACTGTCTCAAAATGAAAAATTTTAAAAGGCCTGGGGATATAGCTCAGTGCAAGGCCTTGGGTTCATACCTCAGCACTGCACTCAGTTTTGTTCTGGTTGCACAAATGAGGGCAGTGACTGAGGAATCCGCCTGCGATCCGTGCCAGGTCTGTTCCCTTCAGCCTGCAGGGAGCAGATGTCTCTTGGGAGACAGCAGAAGGGCGACATCACACTCTCCAGGAGTGATGTGCAGGCAGACCACGGTGTGGGCCACCCCCGGCACAGCCCGGCGAGATCAATGAGATCACTCTCCTTTGCGTCTTTTGTTGTGTCAGGTATGAAAATCTTGTCTCCTCAACAAGCTTGTGAGTTCAGGGTCAGAGCTATCTGTGTCGCCACCACTCCCAGGGAGCCAGCCCAGCCGTGGGGCACTGGGCACACAGGGCGACGGGGTGGAGAGACAGGGTGGAATGCTCTCCAAACCAGGAATTTGGCCATAGCAGCGCAACGTGTAGCGTGCATAATACTGAAATGATTCTGTGGTTCATTCCGACCTTCGAGGCTGGCTATTCCTGGAGTGTTTCTTTCAATCACAAGGCACTTTCCCCATGAGATAGTTGAGGCGTCCCATCATGCACCCCTGAGGCGCTGACTACACTCGATCTTGACTGACATGGCCCTTAGGTTAGAGCTCTCCTGGGAGAACACTGTTGAGATTCTAACCCTCCGGGCAATCCGCTCACTAGCTGGTGAGCAGGGGCCAATCTGCAGGTGACCTGCGCTGCTACCACTGGGAGCTCCACGGGTCCCTCCAAAGCCCTGCACACTGTGCATAAGAGGTGGGGCTGGGTGAAAGGGAGCCAAGCGAGGGCAGTGCGTCTTGTACTCACCTGCAGCTTCTCAATCAGGGGCGAGCTCTTCACCTTGACTTTAGGAGGGTGGCTGGCATGGGGAGACGCTTTCTACAGAGCAAAGTGATCAAAATAACCAAATGAGTGAGCCGAAAGGAGGTGGGCTCGGCTGGAGGCCAGAAGCCATCGTGAAAAGGAGGCATCAGTCCCCGCTCGGTTTCCTGGCCTACTTACCTCCGGGGCCCGGGTGAGGCCGTCTCCCTTTGTGTCCCTCCCTCACCTCGCTACTAGCAAGACCACTTGAATCTACGAGCTGAGAAGTCGAGGCAGGCACCCAAGATACAGGAGGGCCCCAGCCCAGGGAGAACTACATCTGTGGGAGCAGTCTTCACCTCGTTACCTTCAGCAAGGTGAATCAGCCATTGGAGGGAACGCCCAAAATACAGGCAAAGCAATCACCCTTTGTTTGTCACACACAAAGCGAGAGCCTGGCATGGTAGCTCACGCCTGTAATCCCAGCACTTGGAGGCTGAGGCAGGAGGATCACCAGGAGTTTGAGGCCTGGGCTCAATAGTGAGTTCAAGGCCAGCCTGAACTACATAGTGAGACCCTGTCTCAAAAACAAAACAACAAAAAAACAAAAACAAAACCCCCGCACTGAGCATTCATTTTAATTAACCAGACATGTGAATTACACATCTACCACATCTGCATTGTGCTGGCTACATGAAGATGAAGACTCTCTAGTCTGCTCTCTAGGAGTGGTCAAAGAGTGGATCCTTGTTTTACATCAGATGTCCACAGCTATGTGAGAACGAAGTCAATGATAGAAGGATCTGAAGGTGAGGACAGGGAAAAGGGCGATGACTTCCATGTGGGTCGGAAGCCGAGGCACAGAAGGGGTTCCTCCTACAGTCTGGGGGGCCAGCATGCATTATCTCCCTCCACTCTATGGACTAATTTACCTGAGCAGAAGAATCTCGCTGATCTCTGGGGATATTCCGAGTACTAATGAAGGTGATGGTATTTCAGTGGTGGAGCAAGGGAGAGCGACTCCACTGATCTTGTGACCTGGTTAAAGCCCAGTGTCCAGGGAGAGCTGGGACAGACACTGGCTGGGAGTCAGGAGACCCAGCCCTTCTGCGTGTAGCTTAGACAGGAGCTAGGTGGCTGCCCCTGGCCTCAGACTCCTGCGCTGAGACCAGGTGTGAGGAATGAGTGATGATAAGGACCCTCCTCGTGATAAGGCGCCTCCGCCTCCTCTGACATCTCTTCCTGCAGCGGCCTTTTTAGGAGCTTTCTGTCAATGGTGACTGCAGAGAGCTTCCAGCCCCACCTAGTGGTTCTCAGTTGTTATGACTTATGGAAGAATTTCACATGGACGGGTGTTTTTGAAGGTTCTGTTCCAGAAACCGCAGCAACAATTTTGCTGACAAAACTCATTTTATGTAATACTCTGAACTCTCTCCCAACTGACCACTTTATTCTGAGGGCAGGAGAAATTCACAGGGCAGTACTGGGGACCCAGCCGAGGTGTCACACAACCCTTGGTGATATGAACTACAAGCGGAATCCTACATAACTGCAAATGCAGTTCCTGAGATCGACAGCAGGTGGCAGCGTTTCCTTTACAGTTTAACCAAAGGCTTCAGGCAGGAGCCGGGGCTAACAGAATCCTGGAGGGAAAATCAGCTTTACAGCTCTTTGCGTGTATGTGGAGACAAGTTTTTGTGACATCCCCCTATGTCTTATAATGTCTAGAGGCTGTGGGCCTGATTTTTCATATGGGAGCGTTTTTCAGCCTTTTCAACTGCTTTAAACGCCCCTCTGGCAGGCCTCCTAGCAAGGGCTGACTGCAGGTTACCTGGCCTACCAGTCAGCACAGGCATGGCAGGGGGGCGGGAACCCCACTGTCAGGCCCAAAAAGGGCTGTGCTGGAGGAGCTTGGAGCAAGTGTGGCCACAGCTTCCACCCAGCCTGCCAGGCACCAGGCCACCACTTTACTTCTGTGTGGATCTCAAGGCAACAAAAAGTCACCCATCCCTGCAGGTAGTGTCTTTCTTGTATCCAAGCAGCCTGTCCCTCCGGGCAGGAAGTTGTTGGTCTTCGGGGTATGATCGAAAAATAGGATGTGTATTTAAATTTTTTTAAATTACAGTAAAAGACACATTGTCATGGATTCTCCTCACAATACTCCCCTTGCTTCGAAAACACTTATCCCATGGGTCTTGCAGTTCTGGAAGTCTTCTTTCGTGAGTGTCTTTAGTTCCACTGTCATGGCTGAATCGATTCAAAATGTTTACCTTTCACAGTCATTTTGACTTTGGGGAAGAGCCAGAAGTCGCACGCTCCCAGCTCTGGTGAATGAGGTAGATGAGGACACAGCGTAACGTTTTTATGAGCCTGCCTTTCAGTTGGCTGGCACTCGGCAGCACTGATTGTATTTTTGGTCACTCCTCATAAAGACAGTTCTGAAAGAGGACTTCCAGAAGGCCTTCGGAGAGTGGGAAGAAGGAGGCGTAAACATATTGGAAGCAAGGGGGAGTCTTTGGAGGGGGATGCGTGGGAATGTGTCTTACTGTAATGAGGTTTTCTTGGGGTGTACCGTGGATCGAACTCGGGTCCTTGCACTTGCTTAGCAGGCAGCGAAACCACTGGGCTAAATCCCCGGCCCTGTAATAAGGTTTTAAATATGAAGCATTCACTGTATTTTTTTATCTCCCTTGAAAACTCTCCCCTTCTCTTCACCCAGCCCTTGGACCCGGACACCTTTACTTTCCGGACGAGGTGCTGAGGGAGGAAAGCTCCATTCATCCCCACACAGCCATCACCCCAAGTCCCTGCCAGGCCGAGCCCTCACATTGTTTCAGTGAGTCCCACCCCATCCAGCCGCCCTGGCCTATCTGGGTCCTGTCCTCGTCCTACAAACACGGAACCAGAGTCAGTGTGGTGCAGTGACTTCCCCAAGCTCTGCTGGGTCATCAGGGGACACCCTCGGGTGGCCACAGCTGCAGGGCCATGGAGTCTGAGGGGAAAGTCACAAGACGCTGAGCCTCTGGACTGAGAAGTTGCTGGTGCATGTTTGGGTGCAGCACTGCCTGGTAACCCTATGAAGCCACGCGTCATGGTGCTACCGCTGGAAGAGACCCTGAAAAGCCTCAGCATGTTGTCAACGCCCCCCACTGGGGTCCCCACCACCCTTTGACCAGGTCCCACTCTAGTTTTGGCTTTTTCTGATCGGCTTTGGCTTTTGGGGTTGACAAAAAGACCAGAAAGCCACGTGTACTTCAACTGTTTCGCTTTCTAGATGAGAAAATGTCAGGGCCAGGGGCTTGCCCAAGTTCATGCAGGCGTTCTCAGTGTCTATGGTCAGGATGCTGGTCCCCAAAAAGAAGGGGAGAAAAAGCCTGGCTGAAGGGGGACTCAGGAGCCCAGCTCTCTGTGGCTCTCGAGCCGCGTTTGGGGTTGGCCTCCCGCAAGGCACATGGGGCCTGCACACCCATGCCACATCCATGCACGGCCCGGCCATGACCACAGGGAGGGGTCTGGGACAGGGCGTGCAGAGGGACTGCTGCAGCTGCAATTAGGTAAGTGGGGTGGGTGCCTGTGCAGGCTGGGATCTATTACTGGCTATGATCTGTGCTGCCAGAGCCTTTATTCTGTTGGCAGTGCTGGCTATTTATAGCTGAGGGCAACAAGGCCTCCTGTGCGCTCTGGTTTTCTTCCAAGGGTCTAACACAATAGTCAGGCTTTTCCAGGACTGGAGGAGGAGGAGGAGGAGGAGGAGGAGGAGGAGGAGCAGCAGCAGCAACAGCAGCACCAGCAGCCGTGGGATTCTCCTGCCTTACAGTTCCACCACATGGCAGCACAGCCTCTATCCAGGGTCCTTCTGTACACATTATTCTGAGCTCATCCCCGGGAGACCTGGGAAAATAACACAACTTTCCCAATGCTTGAATCGGGCGTGGTAATAATTTTCTTTTTGCTTCAGTTCTCAGGCTTAAAAAATGTTGTTTCTGTCTTTAATCAGATCATAGAGGAGGCTCAGCAGGAAGGATTAGAGAGAAACCTAGATTCCAAAGTAAATCATGCAGGAAGCATTAGGGAGAGAGATTCAAACAGAGTGGGTGTGGTGGCACATGCCTGTCACCCCAGCACTCTGGGAGGCTGAGGCAGGAGGATCACAAGTTCAAACCTAGCCTGGGGCACTTAGCAGCTTAGCAAAACTCTGTCTCAAAATAAAAAAATAAAAGAGGGCTGCAGATGCAGCTCAGTGCAAAGGCCCTGGGTTCAATCCCCAGTACTCATCCTGGAATATAAAGTGGAGAAATGCCCTGCATAAATTTCAAAGCCTAAAGGTCTGATTTTTGTGCCTCTTTCTAGAAGAAGAAGAAAACTCACGAGCGGCCCGGCAGCAGAGTACTTACCTCCTCACCATTCTGGCCCAGCTCTACCTTGTGAGGGAACAGGGGGAGAGAGCAGGGTGGTTTCCTTCGGGTTGGTTTACTGGCCGGTGTCTAGAGGGAGGGTGACAGACGACAGACAGACAGACAGACAGAGACAGCTAGTCAGGCAACAGGGAGGAGGAGGCAGGAAGTGGGGTCAGTGAGGTACGGGTAGGGGTGGCTAGAGAAGGCAGAATGGTGGTGGGCGGCCCTCCTCTGAGCAGGTGCGGGTGACCCGGTGCAGGGTGACCGCCGCGCCTGGCGTTCAGCCCCTCCTGTCCTGTCCCCTCCTCTCTTCCCTGGGATTCACCAGCCTGCGGCAGCAGTCACATTGGCAGCCAGCTTCCAGATCAATGCCACCGCCTTTGTCCTGCAGGACATGTCTAGCAATGAGGGATCTGATTTCTCAGCTGGGAAGACAGAAGTGCCAAATGGTGCACCTGACAGGGTCAGGTGGGCCCATGTGCCCCTGTCCCACCCAGGGGCCACCAGAAGCCCCCTTTCACCTCGGGCCTGCTTCTGTCATCTCATTATAGGGAGCGCCTCACCCTGCAGAACAGAAATGCAGTCCAGATCTCTCCCAAGTTAACCCTTCCATACTTCTTTTGCCTCCCCCCGCCCCCTCTCTGTAAGGGATTGAACCCAGGTCCTTTGCACTGAGCTACATCCCCAGCCTTTTTAAAATTTTTTATTTGGGGACAGGATCTTGCTAAGTCACTGAGTTGCCCAGGCTGGGCTTGAACCTGTGACCCTCCTGCCTCAGCCTCCTAGAGTACTGGGGTGACAGACATGCGCTACCATGTCTGGCTCCACACTGTCTTCTTCCGCAGGATTCTTGCAGCAGCCCTTCTGAGCCCTGGTTTCCCACTGGATGTGCTTCCCTCCAAATCCTCTCTCCATTCTCAAATCTCAATTCGGAGTCTGCCCAGCCTCCCCTGCTCCTGACTCCCAGGCTGCCCGCCAGGGGCCAGGTTTGGGGACTTTGGGGGACTTCTTTCCCCTGACTCGTCCGGGCTCTCAGCGCGGAGGATCAAGATGAAAGCGAATCCACAGTCACGTCCCTGTCCTGGCCTCCGGGGGGAAGGGTTCAAGGCTCAGCTCTGGCACGTTCCACAGGGACCCTGCGGCTTTTCGTCCTAATTTGGTCGTCCTCCCGCTCCCTGGGCCAGACCTGCCCTGCTGCTTCCACCTCCAGCCTCACCTCTTTGGCCGCAGCCGCCTGCTCCCGAAACTGCCCGGCCAGCTGGGCCACCGACGGGGACGCCGAGCTGTCCACGCGGGTGCTGGGCTCTGCGGGTCTGTCCTGCAAGGCAAGGCCACGAGGGGGTTACTCCGCGCATGCGCGCACGCACCCTTCCACCCCCGGCGGCGGGGGGGGGGGGGGGGGGCGAGAAAGGTGCTGGTTTTTGTGGCCAGAGCAGGAGCGCCCCAGCAAAGAAGGGCCATAGGGGGCCTTTTCCCCTGTCCTGGAACTCGAACCCAACTCCGGCAGATCTGTCTGGAGGAGGGAAGGCAATGCTGGCCCCCACTTCCCGGGAGTGCTGGGAATGGCTGGGGGCCGGGCAGGAACATGTCGGTTGCTGCTGTCCTTCACGTCCGACCCACTGTGGCCGAAGCGCCAGGCTGGGTTCTCGGGATGTACGGGGTCACCTCTGCTCAAGGCGTCAGACTTCCCCGCAGCGCCCCGCAGATCGGTGTCCCTCCACAGGCTCACCGGGCCGCACCTGCCCGACCTGAACACCTGCCGGGACTCCCATCGCCCTCCCCACCCTGCGCAGGCGTCAGAGCGCATGTGGTGAGTGGCCCCACTGCTGGCAGAGGCCCCGGGCCACGGTTTGTCCATCTGTCCGGCCTGATGCCAGATCGGCCTCTGTCCCTGGCTATTCATTGCTTGGGTCTTGCTGACAATGCTCCACCTCAGCATCCCCAGGGCCCATCCCTGCTGCAGTGAGACATTCCAGTTAAAAATAGAGCCCAGGGCCTGGCAAGGTGGTGCACGCCTGTGAGCCCAGCACTGGGGAGGCTGAGGCAGGAGGATCACTGTAAGTTCAAGGCCAGCCTGAGCTACATAGCGAGACTCTGTCTCAAAACAAACAACAACAACAAAATTGAGCATGGGATGATAGAAAACTACTCTCCAACTTCTCTGTCTCCAAACTAGACTTGGCCTGGGGCTCAGCAGCCTGAGAACCATGAGGCTTCTGGAAGCTCAGGGTTTACAAGCTGTGTGGACGGAATGAAGATGCTACCGCTGAGTTCATCTTCCTGGAGCCCAGGGAACAGGTTTTCTTAGTCTGTCCAAGGACACCAGGGCTCGTTTCCCCTAGCCAGACCCTTCTGTTCCAGGCTGCAGGAAACTGACTGATCCTGTCTGCAGCCTTCTGGGCACACTGGAGCCCAGAGAGGGCAAGTGACTCCCCTGGTATCACACAGGTGAAGCCAGACAGGATGGACTGGGACGAACCTGACCAGCACCCAGTGACCCAGAAACGCCTCTGTTGATATGGAAAAGTTTTAGATAACTTAATAGATTAAGGTAGTTGTAGAAACAAAATAAGTAATGTGTTCTTTTAAGATTTGCTTTTCCCATAACTCCTCGTTTAAGGTGACGGTTATCTGACTCTAACCCGTAACTTCATTAACCTAACAAAGTTACCATGCCAGGGTGAATTTACAATGTATATGGGCTATCTTGTGTCTGTGACTTGTAACTAGGAACTGGAATTGTATTTACACGTCAAAGACCCCTAGGGATGATAATGGCTAAAAAGGATATAAAAAGGGAAGTGCTGAACAAAGGGGGCATGGATAGTAACCAGACCTGTTTTTGGCATTCCCGCCAGCTCTCGAGAAGAAATTTTATTATTTTACCTGAATTCTGTGTCTTTATGTGTTTCTTTCCGAGATTTCTGCAACATTTGGTGTGTTGGCTGGGAATCGGGAATGAAATAGCCCTTTTGGGCATGGGCCCGAATCCCACTGGAGGGAGTGGCTCTCTGTCTCCTTGAGAGGAAAGGCGCACCCCTGGGACTAATTTCCTAGGTGCCCCAACAGGACACAGAGATCCACTCACTGGGCAGAGGATTGCGCGAACCGGAGGAGACTACAGAAGGAGGACTGCTGCTCTTGGTGTCTCGTCTGTCTCTTTCCTTTGCTGGGTGAGAAACCCCAGGAAACCCCCTAGTCATTAACTTTCAGTTTCGCCTTGTGAATTTGTGTTTTGTAACTTTGGGCAAACATAGTGCAGGGACCTGATCACCTCTTGTGCTTTGCCATTTGGAAAGATAGCTCCTCCCATTTGTTTTGGTTACAGTTAGGGGCTCACTGGGAGAGAATGTGGTAACTTCTGAATAAATGTGTGAGTGAAAGAGTTCTGGATAGGAGAGTGTGTGGAATGAGCTGTGGAACAAGACAGAGGGAGGAAGCGCTTGAGCTTAAAGAGTCCTCCCTGCATCATAGAATTTGTGTGTGGTCACGTTTAACAAAGACACAATGGTGAGCTTAGGCAACAACTCACCTTAGCCTGAACAGACCTTAAAATGGTTGAGAAACCCGCAGCCAGGCAGGCGAGCAAGTGATCCCCACCTTTGTTTGTCTTGCGTCTCTGTACAAGGGTACGCATACACACCAACACTCTGATGGCCGATCGTGGGGACAGAAACATCTCGTCCTACTGTTTTGGAATGCATGCTTAAGAATTTTAAGAAAGGGGCCCTACCGAGGTCCTGAGTCGCACAGAACATGCCAAATCACCCCACTGCAGACAGGCAGCCACCTGGTTCCACACTACAAAGATGCAGAGGACACCAGACCAACAGACCAAGGTACTGAGTCACGCTGCTCCCGGCCCAGAGGTAGGGGCTTCTGAGCTGCCATCCCACTGCTCCTGGTCCAGAGGAAGGGGCTTCCCAGTCACCATCCCTCCCGCTGCTCCCAGCCCAGAGGAAAG